GATTTATGTCCAGTTGAGCAATTCAGAGTGATGAGAGGTTTAACTCAGGTACCCTCCCCTCTGAACCTACTATTAGAACCTTCAGTAACTCACTGTGATGCTTTTAACAACCATTTCACAGATAAAATCTGTCACATAAGAGCTGACCTAGATGCTGTCATTGGAGCAGAGGCCAACAATGAGGTGTCTAGCAACTCTGTGAGTGGGATTACATTGGATCAGTTTCAACGGGTGAGTACCACTGATGTGGACAAACTGCTGGAGCAATTAAGGAGGACAACCTGCTTTCATGATCCCTGTTCCTTTTGGCTGGTCATGCAGGGAGGAGATGCAATTAGACCTCAAATACAACAAATTATTAACACATCTCTCAGGGAGGGAAATTTTCCATCCTGTTTAAAAGAAACAGTGGTTAGACCACTGCTGAAAAAGCCCTCCTTAGATCCCCTAGACCTTAATAACTACAGACCAGTCTCTAATATTCCTTTTTTGGGCAAGGTGATTGAGAAGGCAGTTGCCCTCCAACTCCAGTCAGTCTTGGATGACACATACTTCCTTGATCCATTTCAAACCGGCTTCAGGGCAGGATATGGAGTTGAGACTGCTGTGTTCGCCTTAGTGGATGATCTTCATCTCAACATTCACAGGAGGAGTGTGTCCCTGTTGGTGCTTCTAGACCTCTCAGTGGCTTTCAATAACATTGATAACACTGAGTTTCAGGGCCAGGCACTTTGAGCTGGGAATCCCAGTTCCAGCATATGTGATGTGTCTAATTTATATGTATGTGTAGCATTGTCTGGATTAAAGAATTTGCACTCACATTCCAGCATATACATTCTGAGTGAGCAGGAAATATTGGATCCTTTCATTAATATGAGGCCAAACCTACCATTAGGTAGCATAATATGGCAGAAATTGGAGGGCAAATGTTGAAGAGTAGCAATAAGAAGCCTCCAGTTTGTTCTGAACCCAGATTATTCCCACTTATCTCCTTCCCTTGAAAGACAGGGATCTGATGCCCCAAAAGAATATCCTACAGCTCCAAAATTAGCCTGTTGCCTTAAAGGATGTCAGAGGTCCCTATTCCATTGTCAAGATTGAAAGAAGATTCAAAGGGTCCATTTGGTTTCTTCAGGTTGCAAAGTGTCTTGGGACTGTGCTTATGCAATCTACAAGCTCTGTCCCCTGATCCACTTGGGGGGGGAAGCAGATGACTGCTTCCGGGACGCCGCCAGATGGAGTGCCGGCGGAGCGGAACCTCTGCACCACGGCGCTCCTGCGGCGTCCCTAAAAGAAGTTCCAAATTGGCGCTCCTTTTAGATGTCAGGGAAAGTGCGCCCTAAAAGCGGCGGGTGCACTTTCCCTGACTCTTCCGCCGCAGCGCATGCGGTCGCTGCGGCGTGAGGTCATCCCCGGAGCGCCAGCCGTGCGCAGGGCCGGCGACTCCGAGGGCGACCTCAGGAAGAGGAAGGAGCGCCGCGCGTGTGGCTGCTCCTCTTCTTCCTTGCCTCGGAGACGGCTCAATAAGCCGTCTGCCGAGGCCCTTGGTTTCAGCCAATTTGACTTTTCCACAGTCTTCCAGAAAGAGTAGCTAAGGTGTCTGTTCCTCCCTTCCTCTCTCACACACCCCAATAGAGGGATACAGAGAAGGTAGAGCAAAGCTTAGGGAGCAATGTTGTCTTCAGAAGACAGTTGATTTCTGTTCAGTGTAAAGCAGCTTCTTAAGCCTTCCCGGCAAAGCTTGGAAGAATAACTTTTTAGGATGATACCTCCTAGAATTTCCAGTTAGCAAAGCCACAGATTTTGTGAGCACTGTAATTTAAAAAGTAACTTTTCTAAACTCTACCTCTTGGATCAGGCTGTGTGTGAGGCCTCTCATGTGCAGTTGGACACATAGGCTGTAACCTAATATGGCTCAGCACAGCATAATAGCTGTGCATAGTCTTGTGTGCTTTCAAGTAATTTCTGAGTTATGGTGACCCGTGATCCTATCACAGGGGTTTCTTGGCAAGATTTGTCTTCCTCTGAGACTGAGAGCATGTGACTTACCCAAGGTCACCCAGTGGATTTCTACTGCTGAGCAGCGATTTGAACCCAGATCTCGAGAGCTACACTCCCACACTCAAACTACTACATCACACTACACTACAACTGGCCATTTGCCACACCTTGTATTTACTATAGAGTCACTACAGCTCATTCCATGGCTGGTGGAGAGTGGGGAGGTTCAGAGAAGTTTTTGGCTATGTCTTCATAGTTAGCTGTGAAATTATTATACTGTCTACTGAGATACACCAGGGATCTCCAGAGGTCTCAGTGGATTGTGTCCAAAAAAATTGCATCTAGCTATAGGGACATAGCCAGACACTTTTTTGACTCCTCCTTGCTCTCCACTAAGAACAGAATAACCTCGGGGAGGGAACTGCAGAAGCTTTACAGATAGTCTAGGAGGGCTTTGGTTGTTCTGAAGGAATGAAAGGAATACCAATATCCACAATAACCAAAAAAGACATACACAGGCATAAGGTTAAATTGACATCTGTAAGTGCCACTAACCAAGGTAGCAGTCACAATGTGACATCTGAAAGCTTAATATGACTGTGCAGCTGGAAAAAATGGAGGACAAACAGATCCATGTTACTCATTGACATAAAGCTTTGGGACAGAAATTTATAACAGCATGAGTACATAGGAAAGGCCCTTGCAAAGGCTTTAAAAGCATTCAAGGATTATTTGCAAACCAAAAATAACAAACCTACAGGGTTTCAAAGGCACCATTTTTGGCAGCACAAGTCTGATGAAGCTGCAGCTATCTGAAGTAAGGCAGATTCCTAAATGAGTCATTGCTGCAACAGCAGATAAAAACTAATGACTCCACCAATGAAACAGCCACTAAGCAAGGATTACCTTAGTTTCTGGGTTAGTTGATGGGTTATGTTTCC